AAGCGTGCGCTTACGCGGCCGCCATTTTTAATATCGACAGGGTAAAGTAACCGCTTGTAGGCGTACAACGGACTAGGTGCACATTTTCACTGATGGTGGTTTCTTCGCTCTTCTTTCTTTCTTTTAACCCCTTCGACCCCCTGCCCCGCCGCAGTGGTCGTGTGGCTAAGGTACTCGGCTGCTGTCCCGCAGATCACGGGATCCAATCTCGGCTGTGGCGGCTGCATTTTCAACGGATGCGGAAATGCTGTAGGCCCGTGTGCTCATACTTGGGTGCCCGTTAAAGAACTCCACGTGGTTGAAATTTCCAGAGCCCTCCAGTACGGGCTTCTTTCATAATCATTTGGTGGTTTTGGGACGTTGAACCCCACATATCAGTCAACCCCTTCATGCCTTCCCCCAATGTAGGGTAGCAAAACATACACGCCTCTGGATGACATCCCTGCTTATCAATCTTCTTCTTCCTCCTCCTTCACTATCTGAGGCACATGGCGACACACGTAAGACCTAGTTATGATGTCATGTGATGACGTCGTCACGTCACTTTACGTCACGGGAACTCACTGTGGCGACGTGTGCGCTTCTAGGTACGGCCGAGTGCCAATGTGGTCAGCTACTTAAATCTCGCTTACACCGCAGGAACTTCAAAGCGCAAAGTGAACGAGGAGGATAAACACACGACTCAAAAGGACCGACGAAGTGCTGTTTTTTGTGTTGTTTTTGTCCACCTTCAATTTACGCTGAAAAGTTTCTGCACTTATCAACCACGACCAACTAGGCTCAGGCCAAGGTACTGCTAAAAGTTCTTTTCAACTTTACGGCATTGAAAACGGAGGAAAGTCCAAACATGAGTGAAGTTTACATTTGGCTCACCACAAACAAGTTGGAACAAACAAACAAGCAAACAAGCAAACAAAACAAAACAAACCATCAAACAACCAAACATTTGGCGACTACTTTGCGGACGTTGGCACCACTTAGAGTACGATCTACTCGAAACAACAAGCCAAATAGCTACTACCGTGGCAGGCTATGATAGCCGAACGACTGCTCATATCCCGTTCCGCAGGATAGAGCGAGAATTTTGAATATCTCAAACAAACAAACTACCAGATCGGCCTTGCGAACATCTTTAGGAAACTTTTCAGCTGTTTCGGATCGACCACTTGCATTTAACCTCCTCTATTTTCGAATCCCCAGCGGCAATAAAAAAGTTTGCTACATTTACTCTAAAAGCCCTGAACACCTTTATCTTCTTTCCTTCTAAATGCAAACGTTAGTTTGTGATACTCGTCCGTTTACCCTGCACCGTTTTACTCCGTCACAAAACAACTTCCAGTAGTTCTGTAGACGAATCAGGGGAGAAGGGGGTGAACTATAAATAGAAAAAGGCTAATCTAAGAGCTTTGCCACTGCCTGTTTTAAGACCGCGTTTGGCTTACAGACCACGAAGAAGGCCACCGAGGTTTACGACAGGAAAATATCGCCTCGATCGAAATGTGCGGCACATGTGGGACGCACCCTTTCTTATGGCAGAGCAGAATGTCTACCGTTTAGTGCAACTGAGAGCCACCCACATTGGTCGCGGCCATCTACGGATCCCACAGACGTGCACTTCTCTGCTCCCAACGTGGTGCATGGAGAACAGCTGATCCTGCACTGCCTTCCACAAAACGCCCACACATGCAGACATTTATTGGTATATAAGCGCATACACGTACACACAAGCCGTCCATCTTGCTGAGCTTTCGCCAGGCTTCGTATTAATGCTTTAAATGCAAGCCGGAGCGAGCTCAGAGCATAACTGCGATAGCTCGGAATAGACGCTCCGGCGGCTGTCATCAGGCATGCGTAGCCCGTCGCCTTAGCAAGTTGCCACGTCCCTGATAATATACGTCGGGGTGGTTCACTTTTTTTTAAACTTTTTTTTTGGTGGGAGATATGAAAGGAGTGGGCGAGGAAAGGTCGGTCTGTATCTCCTCCTTGGTAGCGGGCGTATGTGCCATGCGCTACCGATCCAGCAGATACTAGGCGCTTTTGGCACGTCGTAAGAATCGATAGAACGGTGGACGTGCCGAGGTTCGTCGATGACGCCCGACTTGGAAACGGGTGGTGGCGATGGCACCTTTAAGGACTGCGTGTGCCTAAACGAACTTGCGGTGTCGACAGGGCTCATGCCCGCTGACGGTCAGCAGTGGCGCGCCTTTACGTTCTTATACGTTGTTTTGCGCCGTTACGATGGTTTGGCTGACTTAGCCGTGTGCATGCACTTTAGGCCGGATTGCTCAGCCTCCGAGTTGAAAGAGAATCGGAGCGTATAAAGTGATAATTTGTTTGCGTACGACGTACGCCACAGTACTCGCTTTCTTTCTGGGTTTATAGACGTAAAACGTGCATATCAACGGGATCACAGCTACCGCAGCGGTGCCTGGACTGAAAAGGTTGCGATAAGACTGTACGGGTTTTGTGCACCACTTCGCGAAACAAGCCCTGGTTCTGTTAAGTTCGTAATATTTGTTACTTCTTTTTATGTTGCTTGGGTATCTGGACGAGGTTAGGTTTGTTAGTTTTTTCCCAGATTCGAAGCAGCGGCGGAGTACAGTATACTTAGGATTGGACGCGCGATCTTTGCAAAAAGCATCTTATCTATACCGGCCGCTTCATTTCTAGAACTTGGTCGCAGCGTCTGGCCTTCGAAAAAGACGCACGTTTAAGAGCGGCAAGCTGAATCCTGTTATTAAGACGCAGACCTTGTGAAATTTTGCTAGGGCAAGAACAATTTTGTTTGTATAGGTATGCAGAATGCAGTAATGAAGTTCTGGTTATTAAGATAGGGGGCGAAACTTCCGTCCCAGGAAAGGGTTTTCAAGGTGCAAGAAAGAAATGGGAACTCCATCGGGTGGATGTGGTGAAGTCAGGGGCGCAGTCAGAAATATTTTTAGAATGGGAAGTAGTTGGCCAACCATACTTTACGTATGTTCGTACTTGCGTTCGTATACGCGTGCGTATACAAATGCATATTTGAGAAATTTCGAGAAATATACCCCCCCTCGCCCATTGGCTACGCCAGTGGCTAACGTCCAAGGCTCTTACGTTGAATAATATCACGTGTATTTATTGCATAATATTTTCAATGTGTCTTCTGTTTGCAGTTTGCTCTACTTCGAGACAGATCAGTTATCCCCATAGTTCCATGGCCTTAACATTCTTTGAAAGATCCGGCATTAGTGGCACTCGGGAGATCTTTGGAACGTTCTCTGAATATGTTGACAACAGCATCTGAGATACATGGCTGAAGGTAAAAAAAAAAAGAATACTGCAGTCACTGCGCCGACTAAAGTAAAGGCCTAAAAACATGCAGGAAAAGACGTTTCAGCTCCCACACGGGAGCCTTGTTTACAAGTGAAATGAAAACACGTGTCAAGGAGTTTGCCTTATGTTCGTTTCAATCTATCACGCAGGCAGTGCGTATATTTCTGACGGCAGATTACCGTCGTTTTGTATCACGGCAACTCAAGATAAAGACCAACAGGTAGACCAACATCTCTGAAGAAAATGTGGTATCGTCTCCTTGTCGTGGTGGTACTGCGTTTGAAACCGGCGCAGTGTAAGACAACTGCCCGAGTCGAGTGTTGGTAGGAAGGCAGCATGGGAGGCTTGCTGTCGACACGTTGCACTGCGCAGTACCAGCCTCAAGTTGATGCCTCTCTATAGCTGAAGCCTCGTTCGCGGCGTAGTTGGAATGGGTGGCGGAAGTGATGTCGTAGCTAATCTGTCGTAGCTAATCTGTCCGAAGGCGGCATGAGACAGCAGCCCAGGACTGCTGCCTCATGTCTTCATACCTGTGCCAAGCCGCGGCACCATCTCGAAGGCAGTCAACGGCGAGGCACCATTTCTGTTGGTCCGTCCGATCCTCGCGAGCTTCGAGAGCCCTGATGGGTACCACCCATTCGTGAGCGTCGTTCTCCACGCCGTGAAGCTCCGATATGTCGCTGGTGGCTTGCGATGATGTCATTGCAGAAGACAAGGTAGAGGGCGCCAAGCCGCCCATCTGCTCCGAGAGCTGCATGAGGGGCATCTCGGAACTCTCTGCGTTGCTCGCGTGGGCTGGCCTCCAGGTCATGTGAGGCAGTTATGTCGAGCATAACGTCGGTGGCGCTCAATGCCGGCAGGAATCAGCGCAGATTGTGACGCTGGGAAGGCATTGATCGTGGAGCGGATTATTGCGATGGGACGCCGGCAGCTGCGCGGCGCTGTCCGGTGGTTCCCACGCGGAGACTATGGTAATTTCGGAGAAGTACGAGACAATTCTTGTACTCACTTGAACGGTACCCTTGTCAGGAAGAGCTGTGGTAGCATCCTTCAGCAGCTTCGGTGTCGATAATGCCCTGAGCAGTAGGTTGTCGCCGCGGGAAGCATGAGGAGCGTCCCCGGGCAACAGGAGGCAGTGCGCCGTCTTGACGGCGGTAAGGTAAGCCAGGGAGCGCTGGTTAAGCCTGCCTTTTGGCCACCAAGGAGGCTTAGATGCCGTTCTCATATCTGAGCGTAGGTCCTACCGGCAGTCGTAGGATCGCGGTGTCTATAAGCAAGGAAGCGTGGACGTCGTTCTTTAGATGGAGAGGCCCTGCTGCCGATGATCCATAAAGGCCGATGGCTTCAGCCGGAAAGTTTGGTCGCCAGGCTGCGCCATTGTTATGAGCGATAAAAGAGAACACCCGTTCTCTGGGCCAGCTGTTCTTATTCTCCTCGTCTTCCTCTTCTGCTAGCTCTCCGCATGCTAGAGCAACGATGCCACTTTTAGTCATCACTATATATATATATATATATATATATATATATATATATATATATATAATATGTGTTTGTGTGTGTGTGCTGACGTTAGACAAAGAGCCATAATCACTTTTATTCGTATTCCCTTATTTTGACAATCATCTATACCCGATAAGGTGGTTTGTGCAACAATTCTGTTTCTTTTTTCGTCGCGCCCACTGATGCAGGCTTAGCACAGCGTTGGCTCCTGCGCTCATCTGTCAGCGTATCCGTGGTTTAACGGCGGCGCAGCGTCGTTTCTGCGCCACGCGGCCTGACGTCATGGTCGCTGTCGGAGAGGGCGCCCTCCTCGGACTGGCCGAATGCCGGCGCCAGTTTCGCCACCGGCGCTGGAACTGCTCCGACACGGGCGCCTACGAGTCCGGCTTTGGACAACTCTTCACTGTCGGTCTGTATGGATGAACTGCACACTCATGCCCGGCGAAATCGTCTCCATCTTGGTAGGAAGCGCAGCAACTGTTATACGGAACACACAGCACAAGAGCTTGTGTTCTGTTTTTCGTGTAACAGTTGCTGCGCTTCCTACCAAGATGGATTTATACCAACTGGCCCGATACAATTGTTCATTGAAATCGTCTCACATTGGATATATGATGCACTTCTTCGGAAACGTAGAAATGTTGCAGAGTCTCATAGTAAGGGACTGTTTCTTTTTTTCTTGTAAACCTTTCGGAAACTATTACGGGGCATGTAACAATTTTAAGGCTGACATTCTGTGTATTCTTTTCAAGGATCCGATATTATGCAGATTATATGACTAGGAGGTAATGCGAAGTAAAAAGAGCGAGAATCAGGTGTGTGGTGCGATCATTAGGATTGTGTCTACTTTTTGCGTATCAGCAGCGAACTCGCAAGAACATCGAACACTGATCACTCGAACAACCAAAAAGTCACAACTTTGGCGCAAAGGCGAAACAATGAACGCGATAGCAACAAATTGGAATGCCACACGCGAAATTGCAAGCAGATCGAAACATGCCCCGCGTATCTCACGCACAAAGGACGCCCGAAACGTACTCACAGGTACAGACTACCGCGAATAAGCGTCTCACTTTCTACTTCCCTGTGTCTGAAAAGCGTGCGCCTTTCACAAACAGGGGCTGTGAAACGATTGCAGTGACCATTGTGCGCCCGGTAACTACAACAGAATCGTTCCGACGAAACTCAAAGGCTAGCCAAGACGTACGATTCTCCCTACTGCATGATAAGGGTGTGCGATCGAGCGTGCCCCGGCTTATTAGAGAGTTTTAGTACTGCAGAATGGTGCTACGTACGCATCACGCAAGCCCCTTGCGTTACGTGGCGTCGTTTGCCACTAATCTGCTTTTAGTACGCCTTACTACCCGCGTACGTAAGGAGCGTGCAGCGTGTTGCGTCATCTGGTTGATCAAAATAGAAGCACGTGTTGTTGACAGCCAATGTGAGCCAATCCAAGTGTTATAGCCAGATTATGGCCATATTTTATGCCACAGAGCCGGTCGGTGCTTGCCTTCGATGCCGCCATTTGCAAAACGAAGTCTCGCGCTGTCGCGAACTTGTTCTAGAGCGGCGCGATCACCTCATACGTACGCACGCACGCATCTCATGCGTGCGTACGTAGCGGCTGCGTACGTAATGCGATACGTGCGCGTTGTGGTCTGCGCATGCGCACTACGCAGAATGTGGCATCCTTACGTACGCAACGCCGCCACGTACGCAGCGTACGCAGTACTAAAACTCTCTATTCTCTACAAGGGCCAAAGTGCGCGTGACAGAGGAGAGCCGCCGCCGCCGCCGCCGCCGCCGCACGCTCACTACGTCATCTTGCTTATAATGCTGAAAAAACGATAGTCCCCCCCCCCTACCCCGACATCGCCACCAACAGCGGTAAGTGGTAGATATGAATAGCCTGCCGTTTGATCGTTGACTGAGGTACCTCTCGGTGGCTCAGTGGTTAACGCCTCGCATTCACGACGCGGATGTCGCACATTCGATTCCGCACGCTGTAGTCTTTTGGGGTTTTTTTCTTTCTAGTGTTTTCATATATATGGATACGTATACATATATGGTGCATGGCATCGACGCCGACGTCGACGCTGACGTCGGCGGCGAAATCCAGCCGAGGGTGACGATATAATTCCTATTTCTTTTTTTTCATTCTCTTGCTTTCATTTTGTTTCCTTCTTTCCTTCCTTCTTTCTTTTCTTTCTTTCTTTCTCATAGCGCAGTGCTTCCTCCCAGCTTCATCTTTCCTGCATGTCAAGAATCGGACCTGCTCAGCAGCGCAACACTTCAGTTGTTATACAGGCAACGAAGATGATCATGCGTTCATATCTAGGGAATGATAACGTGTGCCGAACTCTAACTGATAAGCAACAGATTCTCACATTAGCGGCAACTATAAGGTGAAAGAACTTGCGTGGTTTAATGGGCTCTCGCGAGAATGTGGCAGACGCACTACAAAAGGTTGACGATGCACAGATCACTGTATTCTCGGGCTCGTTCTTTTCCTGGTGGTGCTTGTTCCCGTCCTGAAGCCGTATTGTAAAGCAAGGCTACGTACGACGTCTTCACAATTATAGCAGATCCGCGTAACCGTAATTCAGATGACGCCGGATTGTCCTTCTCAGGCTTGGCATGCAGAAACACTTTTGTTTCTTGCGATAATCGTAGTGGCGTGGTTGCTACGATTCATATAAGGCTACGGTAATATAAGGCTACGGTCATATAAGGCTACGGTCATATAAGGCTACGGTCGTATAAGGCTACTGTCATATAAGGCTGCCGTAATATAAGGCAACGGTCATATAAGGCTACGGTCATATAAGGCTACGGTCATATAAGGCTACGGTCATATAAGGCTTTCAAAACTGCGGGTAAACAAATCGTTGGAGTGACACGTAGAGCGTGCTAAAACGAGAAGCATCGCGCTCCAGACGAGGCACCACCTTTCTGAATTTATACCTTTGTACTCTTGGCCGACGTAAGCTGGATCACGCCTGGAATAAACAATATGCATGCGTCACCTACGCTCGAACGGCGAGAAGGAACCGGCTCTTTTCTTTTAATTTCACAATGATAAGTTATTGTTTTTTAATGAAAACTTGGACCTACACCAGTGCCCAGTACGCCACGCCCGTCGCAGCAGCATTTTAGGCTTTTCATACCAAGCATTCATAACTGCTCTCTTTGTCTCTCTTTTCTTCACTTACTAATGTTGGTGGAATTTTCGAAGCTATGCAGCAAGCTCAACTTAGTTTGTTTGAATTCGTAAATCTAACGAACTAAAAGAAGCAGAGCAATGAAGAAAGATAAGTTGTGCAGCAAAGCGCGGTGGCTGTCATAAAGAAGAACTCTAGATGTTAAAGTATATTTGTATAGATTGCAGGGGAAGTACTTATGAGAGCGATTGCGGTACTTAACTCGATAATTTCGCTTATACGTATAGATTACAGGGAAAGTACTTACGAGAGCGATTGAGGTACTTTACTCGGTCATTTCGCTTTTTATACAGGCGATATCATAATTGCTAGCAAGCGTTAGCAGGGCAAGCACATATTCGCACCCTCAACGAGGCTCAAAGCGGCTTGTTATTGTGGACAGAGAGGAAATTCAGAAGTATGTATATTTGAAGAATGAGCTGCCATGTCTGATCAACTCTATCATGTTCATGTCCTAATTAGCGATTTCATCTGATACCTAAGAGACAAAAGCAGCTGGCCTGCAAAGTTAGCTCTCAATACACTATGCATCAGTGCTACGTGCACGTCTCAGGTTGCAAGTGTGCACTTGCGAGAAACGTCGGGGTGGGCACTGTGGTTAGCACTAATGGCTTGTTCAGAAGATATAACCATTATACGTTTAGGCCGGCGTGCGCACTTTCTAACCAAGTCTGTGGCTGGTTAATAATGATGACCGTGGACGGAGAAAAGAGTCTGAGCCAACGAAGGCAAATCAGTTTGAGCAGCGGCGAAGTTCGCTTATCGCTCATATCGACAATGTTGAAAATGTTCACATGTTAGTAGGCATATATCACGGCTCCTTGTTTTAAGCGGGAACAAAATTTCATTTTTTGCCTGCATTTAGGTGTCCCAAGACCGCTATATAAAACGTTCTATGTAATCGCCGCTATAACACTGATGGCATGTCATTAACGCCTTGTGTCATTGCTGATATACAACGCCATAATAGTGCTTAGTGTAACGCATAGAGCTGCTAGTTTACCACAGAACACTACAGCCTTTCTAATGCTATGCCTTGTCATCCTGCTAGATGCTCCATAACTCTGCGTGCACCCCATTTAGGGGGGACCTTCGCGACATGGCGCCGGCGCGGCGTTCTGCGTTGGCGTCGCGTCGGCACGTGGTGGTCCAGCCCTCTCTTTTGACGAGTTGCATTTATTACGTGTTCATATGAATCTTTCTCTCTCTCTCTTTCTTCTTCTCTCTCCTGGGCGCAAACTTTGCTGGCTTGCTCTAGGGTGGTTTAACGTGCACAACGCCCGAAGAAGGCGCTACGAGACACGAAACGGCCACGCGGTCATGCGTGAACACAAATTGCGTCGTGCGGCTCAGATGAAAAGACGAACCAGCTCGTCTTCGAGTGGGAGGCGCCAGCTCGAAGCGGCTCTTGTGTTGCCTCCCATCTATTTTCTTTTTTTTTTTTGCGCGACTCGCCGCATAAATAGCTCGTTCGGGCGAATGTAAACACGAGCAGCGCGCGCCCTTCCCGTCTTACGCGGGGCACCAAGAACACGCGTCGTATTTCTACCAGGACCCTGTCGGGTCTTGAAGAAGTAGGCCGGCACGGACCTTTTCCTCTTTCGCCCGCTAACAACGCGCTGCACACGTCGCACATCTTGACGGGTCGTGAACAAAGAAGGGGTGACAGTATATGCTAGCGAGCACGTTCGCGAATATACGTCAGGTTTGTGCAGTGCTAGAGCTGGTGGAAGAGTTCAAAAGGTGCACCTTGTAACGGTCACGACCGGTTGGGTGGACGTCGCGAAATGAGGCGACGTTTTCAGGCACTCCCCCCGCGGAACGAGAAGAGACGTCGTTTAGCCTTACGCGAAGCAGCTGTTCAAACTTCGCGCTTGTTGACGTGATGTGGGACTTGTTCTAGAAGACAGGGACACCTGTTATTTCAGTTATTTTAGCTACACCCTCGGCTGTTCAAGCTCTGAGGTATATCGGTTATCCTTTGGCGGAGGCATGGATGAATCCTGTACTGTTGCGAATGGAAACAGACCTTAACATGAACAGTTGCTTTCAATTGGCGCGACGTCGACGCGTCGCTGGTCTTCTGGCGATGTTGTATGGAAATACGCCGGTGCAGAGAATCAGTCATCACGTGCCACACTTGGGACAGATGAAAGTTTTGATCACGTTGGGATGAGTATATTGAAAAGTGCTACGTAAAGAGAAAGAAAGGTGAGGGGAAAATAGAGAGAGACAGAACAAGGGTATGCACATGAAACTATAGTGTCCATTCACAATTCATGAACTTGCCTCCTGCGGTCCTGAACTCTTCAGACAATGCTTCAAACATGTGACTTGCTATGGGTATACTAGGGGTTTGGTTTAGCGCATGTGGTACGTGTCAATGCGTATACATTGTGGCACCCTGCAAGGTTTTGCAGCTTTCGTGAAGTCCGCCATGAGAGGGACATGCTGTGTTTTGAAAATGCAATGTCTTTGTCTTTAATATATTATATCTTTTGAAATGCACGCAACTGAATAAAGAAAAGCAATACCACAGCAGAGGAACATTAGTTCGCTTTCGTGATGATGATGATGATGAAAACATTCTTATTTAAGCACGAAGAAACGGATATACTATTGATAACTCACAGGCTGCTCTTCATTAACATTGTGGAGGTGTTTGAGTGAGCACTAGGAACTGTCTGAGACCCACTGCGGGGAAAGTTCTGCCCTCTGAAGTTCGAGAAACTGAGGATAAATATTGGCCATGACTTCGTAACCTTTGAGCACTTTTCAAGCGAGACGCGAGAAAATTTAGCCAACCATCTTGATACATTTTGATTGCAGTACCAATAAGTCCAGCAAGCCATCTCTCTAAAAGAAAGTATCCCTTTTGTGCAGTTTTAAACTTCATCAGATCCTGTATATTGAAAAGACAATCTCTTTTTTTTTAGCTTTTCTTTATTGGCTAGCACGAACCTATGCATCCGTTTTTGCTTGGAACAGCCATCTGTGGAAGCACAAATGATAAGAAACGATAGAATCGCGTGAAAAGGCTCGCGTGAAACTTCTAATCACAAGACCATCACCTGCTGTCTATGAACTATATCACGTGTTTCCTTGTGTGCAGGAAGCAGAGAAGCGGCCTTCGTTTACGCGATAAGCTCGGCCGCGGTGACGTACGCCGTGACCAGGGCGTGCACCCGGGGCCAGCTAGCACGCTGCGGCTGCGACCGCACGCCGCACCAAGAACCCCAGTTGCGCACGCACTACGCGCACCGACTGATCAGCCCCGCCGTGGAGGCACCGCCGGCAGAGCCGGTCACTTTGTGAGTGCACGCATTGCACGCCTCAGTTATTCATTGTGTATTGGCTTACGGTGTTTCGCAAACCATGGTAGCGTGCGGAGCAACGCGTAGAGAAAAGACACAAAAACAAGAAACGATTTGACGGCACCACCGCTTTTGCGTCTTTTCCACCGTGCGCTGCTTCACACGTTCAGATGAAATGTAATCGACTCGCACAACTTTCAACTTTGCTGAAATTCGCCGCCGCCATTTCGTCTACAAGCAGTTCTGTCTCGTGAGTTCAATTACATACTGTATGCTCGCCTGCCTAAATATAGCTGGCGTGCACCGACGTCGCTGAAACAGCCACGTTGGACTACCAACATGGCGGACGCGATCTTTGTGATGTCACGTTAACTCGCACATGTCGGTTCTTTCATTATTCATGCACGGGGACCCTCTATAACGCTCTGGTGACGTCGTTATCACACTGACGCAGATTATTCGCCCCGAAATCATCCTGCCTCGACGTCATGTAAGCCCGGCCATGTTGGAGCCGTGTCTGGTGTCCATGACGTCACATACGAGCTATCAATAATTGGTTGTCCCCGAACAAACTGAAGCACGCGTGCTCAAGCATGCATCTGTCAAGATGTTTATGTGTGAACTGTTATTTTCGTTTCTGTACAAACGCAGACAGCTTTATGTTCGTCTGGCTGCCTGTATTTCGTTGCACAAACGGAAGACTGGCATACGGCGTGTAATGTGACAAATTCTAGTAAAGCACATCTTTGTTTCAGTTGCTAAGTGCTGCTTAGATATAACCTTTGCCTTGACTACATGTTTCCAGTTGTATGACAGATCCATAAATAACCATTCCGAAACGTTCAACCAACACAGCTCTTCAGGGAAATAGGCTTGAGCCGGTGAAAAATAGTTGAACAGGTAAAGCTGTGTTCACACGGCGGACTAAATCGCTAGTCGACCCCGAAGATCGCGTACTACGTCACCCTACCTCACCCGTTCCCGCGTCCCCACTTCGGCCCGCGTGGAGCGATTCGTGAAACGGTGGAAGCCCAAATCACAGTTGCGATCGTCAGGGAGCAGTGCCGAAATCCTCGCTTGTAGCGTGAATTCTAGTCTGCCGTGTGAATGCTGGTTGGGGAGGGAGGCGAATCACGTCACATGACTGATCCGTCCGCGATCACGTCGGCCGAGTGAATGCAGCTTAACGTGTACCTGCAGCCAACGTTCCGAGAACTCTCATTTTCTTCATCGCTGCCAGATGTCTTACCTGTGAACACCTTGGCTGTAGTGACAATCGCTGTTGAATGATTTTAAATTACGGAACATTATTATATCCGACGAGTGCCTGCTTGGTAACATGTTCGACAACATAACCCGCCAAGTTTCGAAAAGCTAACATGCCAGTTAGGCATGCGAGACGTGGTAACCTTTGCAAAAGGTGGCGGTTTGTTTGTAATATAAATACGATTGTTGGAGCTGTCGTACCAGCACAATACCATTATACGGGACGCTAAGCCGTGGAGGGCTCTGGGAATATCCACCATTTGGTATTCTTTATCGTGCACTGACACGGCAGTGAACACGGACCTCCAGCATGTTGTCTCCATATATATGCAACAGCCGGGGCAGGAATCGAACCCGTGACATTTGGGTCACCAACTGAGCACCTCTTGAAACCACTACACCGTCGCGGTGTGCACTATTTGTATGTGAAACGCGGTAACCATCAACACGTGTTCGGCATATCAACTTGTTTTTCCCGCCATCATGCTACCTTGTTCCAGAGGACAGAGGTTCGGCAAGCGACCCTAATGCGATACTCTTCGATGTCTCGTAGCCCCGCCGCGGTGGTCTAGTGGCTAAGGTACTCGGCTGCTGACCCGCAGGGCGCGGGTTCGTATCCCGGCTGTGGCGGCTGCATTTCCGATGGAGGTGGAAATGTTGTAGGCCCGTGTGCTCAGGTTTGGGTGCACGTTAAAGAACCCCAGGTGGTCTAAATTTCCGGAGCCCTCCACTATGGCGTCTCTCATAATCATATAGTGGTTTTGGGACGTTAAACCCCACATATCAATCAATCATTTGATGTCTCGTAAGGCACTCAGCACATGTCGGCAGTCAAATAGCTTTGTGTCGCGTGCGCTCACTATATTTGAGGCCTCGTAGAAAGAACCGCGGTGTTGAGACCGACTGTATTTACTGCACCGCGGTGACTCCATCTCTTTTCATGAACTCGTTCAATTATCGCATTAATTATTGTGGTAGTTAATTGGACCTCATCTTAGGTAAACTTGAGCTCTGATATCATATGTATCCAATATAACTCTTGACTTGAACCAGAACCATGCAGTTAAATTTTTAGAATAATTTTTCGAAGTATTTGAAAAACCGGAAGGACGTGCTCTGCAGCCTGAAGTGCCTGAAGGAGAAACAAAGTGTTAAGGCCTGATCACACTTACGCGTTGCATCGCGTCAACGCCAGGCTTGTATCGCTCCGCGTCACGCCCTCTCCCCGTGGGGAGAGAGAGAGAGAGAGCGGGCAGCTTCGTGCATGGCCTCCGAGATTGCGAGCGAGCGGCGGCGCGTGCCCGCAATCTCGGAGGACATGCTTCGTGTAGCCGTTCGCCCTCTGCGAGGGCCTGGCGCCGAGTTTTCGACACGCTGCAACCTGTGCGTGTCGTCGAGCCTGCACGCGTTGCTCGAGCCGCCTTTCATTCGACCGCTAATATATTGTTCCGTCAAGTTGGCTGCTCCGTCGCGTCGAACCCTTGGGGATTCCGTGCTTCCGTGCAGTGCTCGCGGAGCTCAGTTCGTGCGAGAGTCGTGGTCGACGCCGCAGCCCGGAGGATCCACCGGCGGCGTCAACCGGGCCACCCTGACCGCCGACGAGCTGCTGTCGTTGTCCACGCTGTCGGCCGGCGATCCGAGCTGGAAGTGGGGCGGCTGCAGCGCGCACGTCAAGCGCGGCATGCGCCTGGCGCGCAAGTTCCTCGACTCCCGCGAGGTGGAGACCGACGAGCGGGCCCTCATGAACCTGCACAACAACCGGGCGGGCAGAAAGGTGAGCGAATAGAGTTTTATATCCACTGCATATCAGCAGGCAACTAAACGCGGGCAGGTAGGCCGTATGGGTTTTTTGAAGGCATTGTTAGTGACACGTTACATTTGACAATGAACAAAAAAATGCACACACACACGTTTCAGTGCTCGAGACGTTTCAGGGCGTGAAGGTAACATCTGTGCTCTGTCCTGCCGCCTCTTTATGTTTCTGCGTCATCTTGGACCCCCGATTTTTTTTCTTGCTTGGGACATACATCAGCGTCAAACACGAGAACGGGATAGTTAATGAAATAGATAGTTACGCAACAAGGTGTAATGATGTCGCCATTGTTACTTATTTGTTTTTCGATTGAATGTCTGTAATTTCAAGAGCGTGTCTGCTAAATTATGTACCAGCTTGTGCCGTGGACAGCGTCTGTAACGGCTTTTCTTCGAAAGGACACACTTGTGGGCTACTGGTAGTGCACAAATCAGAGCGTAGCTCGAGAAACCACGCAGATGGTGAAAAATCAAGACGGAACACGTCTCCGATATTGATCTCTCGCTCCTAAGTGATTCTTCCTTTCTTTCTTTTCTTTTCGTTCGCGCTACTCTGAAGTACAGCTTTTCTTCGCCGCACTGATTGTGGCCCCGGCCTCAGAGGAAACAATTACCGGCCGTTATTATTCCCAAAGTGCACTAAGCTCCTCGCTTGCTTTTATTATGTTTTTTCTAATTCATTCTTTGCAAAGAGGAGCTAGTTTTACGCCTAACAAACAATCACCCTGCCCCTTCTATACTCCTCGCTGATGTTAGCGCTTCAATTTTATTAACTTTTATCGGAGAGACCCGTACATAATTAGGGTGCACGGTGACGTCTCGTCCGAAGAATCGTTTCTATGGCCCACCGCATTTCTGCGTCCACACGTTCCGTCTGCGTTTCCTTGCGAAGGCCACTGGGCGCCACCTGTTGTTGCCAGCACAACAGTTACGCGGAAGTTCCTTGTCCCCCACCAAGGCACCTGATCAATACGGTGCTTTCTCCTGTTCCCTGAGATACACGGCAGAGTGCAGTGTATAACCATCATCAGCAGCTGCCGCAGCAGCAGGCCGGTCCCGACCGCTTGCGGATTCTGCACAGCTGTTTACCTCCGGCCCTGCGCCGCGGTGGCGACGGGACGGCGGCGGCGCTCGAGAGAACAAGGGGGCGTTTAAGGGTCCCTGCCCGTCGGCTCCTCGCCCTCTTATTATTATCCCGGAGGACAGCAGATCTTCTCTCACCTACGGGGCGTCGACTGCGGTGTGCCGCTCGCGGTTTTCATTGTGAGGTCATCCAGGGTCGCATGCCACGTTGCGAAAGCCACGTGAGGTCTGTGTTTTGCGCCTTGTGCGCGCCCCTGTTCTTTGCTTTCTTCTCCCTTCATTCTCGCCGCTTTGAAGCGAGTCTGCATTGGTCCTCCCGTCCACCTTAAGGTTGCTATTCTTAGAATGTTTTGCTTCGTTTTTATCCACATTCTTGTCTCTTATTCGCATATTTATTCATCCGTACCCGTTGTGCAATCCTTTGGCCACCACGAAGCCGCGCTGTGAACCGGACCTTTCGGCCAGCTCTCAAGCCCCCCCCCCCCCCCCCCACCACCACCGGCTCAAGCACACGAGTGCTGGCTCCACGCGTACTGCGCGGGGGAAGAACAAAAAGGCGATGGGGCCTTATAAGGCCGTATACGGTACGGTCGTAAAGCCAAGGGGCCATATATATGCGGCTTTCGCCTCTTTCTTCTCCCTTGTACGTTCGTGTGAAAATTGGCCGTAATGCGTATTCTGTTTAGCGTCCTGCGCGCCAGCTTGGAGTCCTTGTGCGCGACGCGCATGCCGTATACGCCTCGATTGTTGACGTCGGGTGATCCGGGTATTTCGCTCGGGTCGTCTCTTTTCTCTCTCGCTGTCGGGTTCCCGCGAAGACGACGCCAAAATGGAGTCGTCCATCACTCCCCGATGAATGACCGAGGCATAAATGCCTCCTCCTGGCGCATGGTCGCCTGCTTCCTCTTTTCCGGCTTCATTGCGTGCAGGAGATGCACCGGAGACTGTGATGTGATTGCTTTCGGATATTGCTTATCTTATATGACACTTCTGTGAGAACAAGTTTAAAAAGCCGGTTCAAGTGTGTAGCACGTAGAAAGCGTCGAATGTCTGTGGAGTTTATTGCAACCTTTAGACGTAAATCTATCACCGAGAAGCTGATATTTCAAGCGCCAGTGGGTGTTCGCGTAAAGTACAGAGCAAGATATCATCTTGAGGAATCAAGCGCCAAAGAGTACGTGCACTTAGAAAGCACATAGTATACGCGCTCTTTATGTGTCCTTTTTGGGTGTTCGTACTTTTTGGCGTTTATTTCATCATGAACCTATACAAACGTGCCCAGCAGGTAGTCATCCTAAATGCGGGATATGAATGGTTTATATATGGGGGAACATGTTTAAGTTTTTTGTTTGTTTATAACAAGTGCCCAGCACGAGAGAGAGAGAGAGGTAGATGATCCGTAGGATCCGTAGCAACGTTAATGTCCTCATATTTATACGCTTCACGTAAGGTACTGGTATCCATCCGGAAAAAGTTGTTTGAGAGAAAGAGAGAGAGGGATGATCCATAGGATCCGTATCAACGTTAATGTCCTCATATTTATACGCTTCACTTAAGGTATATATCTGGTATCCATCCGGAAAAAGAGCTCCTGTGCTACCCTGCATTTTGGACCAGCGAGTTGTTAAATGTTTAATATCACAGAGTCGGTGTGTTATTGCTCACCTCTTTACCTTTCTAAGCGCGTCCGCATAAGGTGGGATCCGGGGGCTGTAACTCTCCATTATCATGGTCAGATAGTGGGCTGGGGTGCTCTGCATTGCTGTAGGCGACCCAGGATGCCTCCAGCTACCTCGGGAAAGCACACGCACAAACACACATACAAGTACCAAAAACACACAAGTGCACACAAAATTAGCGAACAGAGATAAAAAGTGCCCGAGGGTTTATCACAGAGTGCCTTGTGGTTGTCTGTGCTCTCCGCGAGAGGAAAGGGTTGAATTAGGATGCCAAGACGTGAACGGGAAATATAATAAAGGCTGATTCGATTCCGCATCAGGATATACTGCTTCAGGGTGTCTTGGACGTCTGCATCATTTGTACCTATATGTCTATTTATATACAAACGGAGTGCTTCCAAAGACACTGCCGCATGAGGAATCCCGGTTTCTTGCACCCTTTCATCGGACATTAGATGGAACCGGCATGCCATTAGCCATACAGATATCGGCAGGATTCCAGAGTCAATAGGAGGAGGCAGTATACCATACTCGCTAAAGACGTGCAGAGACTGGAATAATGTTTGAAAGATTAGGTCGATGGCATGGGAATAGGAGGTAGTGGTGGGAGGGGGTGTGTAGTGGAGGCAGACTATCTTGCACAGCCATTCTGTGAAAAAACTACGTCTTGCTGATGTGCATACCACGGAATTATATGTACGCGTGCACAACATGGATACAAGATCGTGTGCGAAAGGGCAGTGAGCTATCGTGATAATTGATACCACTAATTCCTTCCGTTATTTTCCGTATATGCAAGATCAGTTTCAGGACATCATGAGTTTTTTCTAGAGCCGTACTTGCCAGTGAACCACGAGAATGTCTGCCGACTCTAGTCCTGTCCTACGTTACGTTGTCATTGTAAGTTCAGCCATTCAACATTAAGAAAAAAAAGAGACTTCAGGGGTAGGGAAGTACACAGGGAGGGAAGTTCTTTTGGAGATCAACTGATTTGCTACAATCATTTGTCCTTTTGGAGTAACTGAAAGAGGATGAAGATTTATACCCTGAAGGATTAACTGCAAGAAGACTAAAAGTTGCTCCTGATAGGACTAATGGTTACAGCTCTAATTACTAACAGCTGATTTTCAGAAATGGTCCTTACCAGAGCAAACGTTACTCTGGTAAGGATCGACTAACCATTGATCCCGAGAAATCACCCCTGGGAGAGTGAATGTTACTCCTTCGAAATAGACTGTTAATTTATAGGAACAATTTTTGACGGGATTAACGATTAATCCACTGATCATTCACCTGTGAATGACCTATAGCCATCCTCAACAGACTGACATGACAGCCTAGGTCAGCTGCGCTTTGCTCAGTACCGCATCCGTGAATCTGTGTATAGGAATGAAAAACCGCCGACCAATTCAAGGCTAGAAACATTCGTTTTCCCCAAACAATGCGTCTTGCAAGCGCCAGCGTTGTTGGCCCTCGGCTGTTGTCCACCTCGATGTGCTGGCACAGAAGGTCAAACGACTGGTGAGTCTTGTTCTCCGAGTTGCAGGCCCAGCGCTGTCTTTGTGTCGCTTTTCATTCTGGCTCATTTGTGCGCTAAGACGGGAAACATTAATTAGTAGCATGCCTAAGCATACGCTCTTGCAGTAGGTGACCTCGTTACCCAAAGTGTATACCCGATTCAACTAAGAATACCCACACCATCTTCATTGTTACGAAAAAAAAAGAGGTCAAGAAAATGATCACAAGTAATTTATATTTGTGTCAATTGTTTACTAGCTATTTACTAAATTATGAAGGCGCCGACCACTTTTCTGCCTTCATGATGTTTGTAAGGACGCATCTTTCAAAATGGCAGGTATACAGTGGATCATTGATTACCTGTGCGATCTTGAATAGGATGGGCAACTAGTTCACGCTTGAAACTACGAAAAGAAGATCAAGTTAGAGCCCATCGAAAGCGCGAGTCGAAGCCGCAGCTGTGAGAGAGAGAAAAAAAAGCGCTGCAAAAATGTCGGCTATTTCCCTTGCACAGTGTACGTGACGGGCGCGGAACATCTATAGGCCTTAGAAAAACTATTCAACTGTTCATCTACTTTGTCTTACTGGTAACAAGTATATTAGACACCCACGGTTTTATTGCAAATGTCGTTTTACGTGTCGAATTAACATTTGCTGAGTGAATCAAAAAGGTATTATTGAT